ATTAATTTTCGATTTAGTCGCAACAGTAAATGAATGAGTCTTACATTAGTATTGAAGTAAAAAGTTAGCCCCTATATTGATCGATAAAAAAAAGTTATATTCACTTTTTTATAAAATGCAATAAAAATTAAATAAATGGTATATTGTAATAGAAACTCGATTGAGAATATTTAAAAAAATTAAATTTAAGAAATAAATTTTTTAAAATTTTGAAAGCTAGGAAATATGTAATGCCTATAGTGGCATCACAGTACTTATACTAAGTTGGGAATTATATTTGAATAAGAAAGTGAAATGGTATAAAATAAAAACTCGTTTTTCAAATGAACTTTAAAAATAGGAAAACATTTACGCTTTTATGAGATTAAAAACGAAAATGTAGATTTTGAAATATTTATTAAATTTTATTAATTTTGAATTTTAAAGCAAATAATATTCTACAAAAAAATTCCTACCTCCATTACATTATGAAAATGCTTGTATTTGAAAGATCGAGTCCTGCAAAAGAAATTTTTTTTATAATACCATCATTTAAATTAAAAACTAAATTGTTTTCTTAAAAATATCTATAAAGCGTTGCATACCATTTAATAATATCAAGTGCCGATTAAAATATGTTTATAAAATCAAGTGACCTTTTTCAACTTACACAATATATTTTTTTCTTCTCATTTTTGCAATCATTAATACACATTAACATTAATTTGCATTTTGCACATTATTATTCAAAAATACAGACGTATTATTACAGTTATGTTTGCAAAATAAAAAGAAAAAAATTTAACTAAATTTTCTTGAAAAAATACAAATTTTGTTAGACTAAGGTTAATTAACTCAGGCGAAAACTGATTAATGATTCAAAATGCAAAGACGAAATGCTACTTTTATGTAAATCCGTTTGAGTATTTCGCAGTGAGCTAATAGCCATTGATGAAGCCCTTGACTCATATTTGTTTCTTCCCCGTGGAAACGAGATATGGATTCTGTCTGATAGCAAAAGTGCAATACAGCACTTGGCCAATTGGCAAAGCGTGAGAGATAGTACTGGAGTGTCAATACTCAAAAATTTAAAACGGCTTTCCATTTCGCATCAGATTCATCTGCAGTGGATTCCTTCCTACGTCGATATTGAAAGGAAACGAGATTGCGGACACTTTGGCTAAAGCTGGTGCTTGCGAGGACTCTGTGCCGTCGGCACCCCTCACCTTTTTTGAAATCTTCTCAAAAATAAAACACAAAAACAAGACCACTTGGAATGTCCCCCCAAAGCACCCATCGTATCAGTGTTCTCACCTGGAGGCTCCCTGGCCTAAGGTTTTAATAGACAGGAACAAACTATTCTCGCCCGCTTTCGAAGTGGTCACCTTAAATCAATGAAATTCTCAGAAGGATCCAAGAACTTTGAAATGTATACCAACTGTTCTTCAGACCAGGTATCGCCTCACCACATTCCGCCTGCCTGGGGCTCACCAAACAGGATTAAGTAGATAATCCATTGACGGTGTTGGAATTTTTGAGAGTGTATAACGTCATGGACCTGGTGTAGTATTGCTGACCAATGGGGGCGTGCAACAACAACAAATCAGTTGGAAAGTAAGAGGGACAAATGATAAACGGAGGTGTTCCGGTTGGCTCAAATACACAACAATTACTAAAAACAAGCACATTATTAGTAAGATCAAGGGAAAAAGTAGATTTCTAGCGACTGACTAGGTTTACGGACGTTTCTTATATACCTATCTCTACGAACACGCGTCAATTTGACGCATGAACGAATACAAATAATTGTGATTCTTAATTCAATAAATTTAATTTAGTACAGTTTTATCCACCACTATTTCTAAATAATTCGTAGGCTTATATAATTCACCACTTTTTATTTGGAAAATTTACTTAGTAGTTATTTACCGTTTTTAAACTATTTTGGCGTGTCCGGAGCAGTTAGCATCTCTGCACTTAGAAGCTAATGTAATTATGCACTATAAAAAAATGAAAATATGCGATAAATATTTATGATATATTCTAGTATTTTATTTTTTAATACTCGATTTAAGCCACTGAAACCTTGAAAATCTGACATCTATTGACGTTTTGCGTTTGTTCTTTCTATTATTGCTAATCAGCAGCAGTTGTTTATCGCTTGTTTCATTTGAGATAACGATATCGGATANTTTTTTCAAAACCAAGCTATATAAGTCATTTCTGACAACAAAAACCGTTAGGTTTGAAATTTTCCTCCAAAAAAACATCGTTAGTCCATATTAAACTATCAAAATTTTAATTTGGCAAATGTTAAATGTCATGGCTAAAAAAATATAATGGCTAAAAAAAATTTAGCAGTATTTTTGTCCTTGGCGCCACAAGTTTGGGTTATGCCCTAAAACGTTAACCCGTTGTAAAAATTGCTTTTTTTGTAATATTACTTCGGAAATATAATTTACTTTTCATTTTTAATATAAAATTACGAAAATTATTATATTTTCAATGCTATATTTAATTATTTAAACGTACTATATTAATTATTTTTTATTTTTGCTCGCCATATTTCAGCCGCCATTTTGTTTTTTTTTGTTGCTATTTTTAGTGTATTTCAAAATTTCAACTATGAATTCAATTTATCTGCACATAAAAATCCACAAATTTTGAAATTTTTTTTATCGAAATACTAATTTTGGCTACGAAACCTTGGATGCTGCCCCATTGTGCAATGAGAAGAAAAAGACTAAAATTAGAACCATGACTGCTCAGGGAAAAGATGGTTCGAATTCCAGCGAAGGTTGGTCAATGCGAATTCCACATCCAGTTTGGGCCGATCACAGACGTAAGATATCCTCAGTGGTAGACGGATCATGGGTTAGAGTCCACTTGCGGTCTGGCTAACCATGATTCATGTTTTTTTTTCTATCCATGTAACGCAAATGCATGTTAGCTCCATCAAAAGAGCTCTCCACGAAGGCAAATTTCTCCCAATACTTGATCCAAGAGTTCCCATGTCTTCTGGATTCAGTTCAAATTTACGAGGCTATGGAGTTGAACATTAATAATCGTAAATCCCCAAAAATTAGGTCCGCTGTTTGACGACGGTTATAAAATAAAGCGTTAAAAATATTAAACTCTAATATTATTTTAACGGGAGTGTTGAAATGCTGAGTTGGGTACAACATTTTGGTCATTTTATAATTTATTTTTGAGTTTTAAAGGATTTTTCCATTTTCACTATCAGTTCCCTTGTTGTGAGACGAGGATTTTGGCGCAAAAGTAGTTTTAAACATCCTTCATCGAACTCAACCAGAGCGAAATGTGATGCAGAGTTTTCCCACTTCCACGGTAAAAACGATTAAAAAATGATTAAAGGATCGTTTACAAATAATTAGTGTGATGGGGGAATTAAAAAAAAAATTGTACTTTTTTTTCTTCAAAATTCATGATTTTTATGTCTTATTATACATAAAACTCTTACACTTTCGAAACTATGAGATGCTACGTTCTTCTGAATTAATTTCGATTTGGATAATCTCGATTTTTCTTATTGATTTAAGAAAATCGCGGAATTTTATGTCTGATTATATGTGCATCAGATAATTCTGACGATTTTACTAGCAAAATGGTAAAAATAAAGCAAGCAGTAAAGTTCACAAATGTTTTTAAGGTCACAAATTTTAGATTTCATGATCATTTTCTTCTAATATAGAGATATAAATAAATAATGATCCTTTAACAATAACATGTAAATAACTATAACATCAATACGTAAATAACCTTAAGACTAATCTTCAAAAAATGCTTAGAGAATTGATACTGTTCAAAAAATTTTCAAACTGCTTCTAAACAAAATTGTTAAAATTTTCCAGTAGAATATCTAACGAAGAATATCCTACGAAAGTAGAATATCTAACGAAATTTCTCCTAAATATCAATAAAATTGTTTCAGAGAAAGTGTGTAAGCAATAACTTATTTCTCCCTTTGTCCAATGTTTTTCTTAATTCAAATTTCATTAACTTCACAGTTTTCAAAATATGAATACTGTATCAACAGTACGTTTTACCTGTAAAGTAATCACACTTACCTCTCTTACACAATGTTGCCGTGTGACTAATACTTATTGAACGCGGTGCACATCCATATTGCTCCATGTGAAGATGGAAGGCACAAGTTTCTATGCATTCCTAAAAAATGCGCATAAAATATAAATAGAGTTCATCTATATATATATTTCTCTTACACGGCGATAAAAAAAAGCCTCATTACAACTCCCCGAATGGCAACGCTAGAAAATCGACCAATGATTGCTGCTAANGTATTCTCTTTAGCCCTGGGTAAAAACGATTAAAAAATGATTAAAAGATCGTTTACAAATAATTAGTGTGATAAAGAAATTTAAAAAAAATTTTGCATTTTTTTTTTCTTCAAAATTAATGATTTTTATATCTTATTATTAATAAAACTCCTACACTTTCGAAACTATGAGATGCTACGTTCTTCTGAATTAATTTCGATTCGGATAATCTCGATTTTTCTTATTGATTTAAGATAATCGCGGAATTTTATGTCTGATGTATATGTAGTAATGAACATCAGATAATTCCGACGATTTTGCTAGCAAAATGGTAAAAATAAAGCAAGCAGTAAAGTTCACAAATTTTAGATTTCATGATCATTTTCTTCTAATATAGAGATATAAATAAATAATGATCCTTTAACAATAACATGTAAATAACTATAACATCAATACGTAAAAAACCTTAAGACTAATCTTCAAAAAATGCTTAGAGAATTGATACTGTTCAAAAAATTTTCAAACCGCTTCTAAACAAAATTGTTAAAATTTTCCAGTAGAATACCTAACGAAAGTAGAATATCTAACGAAATTTCTCCTAAGTATCAATAAAATTGTTTCAGAGAAAGTGTGTTCTTTATTCAAATTTTATTAACTTCACAGTTTTTAAAATATTAATACTGTATCAACAGTACGTTTTACCTGTAAAGTAATCACACTTACCTCTCTTACACAATGTCGCCATGTGACTAATACTTATTGAACGCGGTGCACATCCATATTGTTCCATGTGAAGATGGAAGGCGCAAGTTTCGATGCATTCCTAAAAAATGCGCATAAAATATAAATAGAGTTCATTATGTTATATTGTGCGAGTTTCGCAAAACGGAGCTACTTGGAGCAACTCCAAATTTCCTCACCGTTCCCTGTTTTAACGCTGGAATTCTCAATTAAATCATAATTTTTTCATCAATATGTCACGAAAGCAACAAAACTATTCAGAAAGGGGAAAACTAGCTACAACGGAAAATATTTGAATCTTAACAAACAATATTGCTCAATTTGCCATGTGACTAATACTTATTGAATGCGGTACACATCCATATTGTTCCAAGTTAAGATGGAAGGTACAAGTTTCTATGCATTCCAAAAATAATGCAAATAAAATATAAATTAAGTTCATGTTTTAGATTGGGCGAGTTTTTCGATACTTGGAGCGTTCAACATTTCTTTATCATTTGAAATGTAAGCTAATTAACATTTATAACAAAACAGTTCATTTTACGCTGGAATTATCAATTCAATCATAATTTTTACACAAATTGTTTAAACAATTACGTCACGACAGCAACAGAACTATTCAAAAGGAAAAAAATATCCAAAAGGGAAAATATTTGAATCTTAACTAACGATTGGCGATTGAAATAGGTTACAGGTGGCGTAGAGTAAATAGAACTCTCTACCTATAGCCACATTTCCCATACTCTCACCATTAGCGTGTGGAGAGTCATAGAAGAAGGAAGTACGTTAGTGTCTGTCTTTATTTTTATATAGAGTAAAATCTTTCAAGTTGAGAAACTATATGGAACTGAAAACTGCATTAAACATAGTTCTAAAATAAGGAAAATTTAAAAAATATTTTTATAAATTAAATACTGAAAATATTAAGAAAAGGAAAAATATCGTAGTACTTTCCTATACAACTGAAAAGAGGAGGAGAGGACGGGAGAAGGGCCAAAGGCATGGTACTGGTCTTCTACCCAGATGGTGTATTTGAGCATTGCGATCACCTATATTGTTCAATTCAAGATTTTCCAGAAGTATGGGGCGTGTGTGTACACTGCTTGACAATTGCTAAGGAACAACTGATTTACGCAAAGTGACGTTCTTGATAGCCTACCAATCACAAACAAATCAAACGTAGAGGGTGAGGTAGAGCATTACCCGTATTTTGTATTAAAGGTAGTGGACGCAATCATGATGTTTGGAATTTGATCAAAATAGCACCATAGGTTGATGAACTTATTTCTGTAAAATTCATTATAGTGTTGTTATAAATACGTGCAAAGCTCTAGCAAGATATAATTTGAGTTCTTACTATCATGGACGAGCCGTTAGACTACTGGAAGAAGGTCAAAATATCAGACATGTGACCACAGTAATGACAAAAAGCGTCATTTCGTGACTTAAAAAAACCCCTCTGAAGGCGGGAATGCTGTGCGATGGCATGCCAATGGTCGTTGTAGTAACACCGCATCGTAAAAGGACGCCATATCGCGGAAAAAAATTTTCGTCGCGAATTCTCTTTCTCCTTCATTACTAAGTTAAAATTCAGAAGAAAGAAAAAGTAAGTTCAGGCAAACCTAGACTTTCTCATGAAGTTTCAATTGCTGAAAAAAATACTATTAAAATGCAAACAAAATATTACATGAGAACTTCTTCGCTGCGTAATCCCAAGTTATATTCTCATCATTTATTTTCATTTGCATATTTTAATATTTTCTTTCCAGTATTTGAAACTTAACTCTAGGCTTACTCTAGGTTTGTCTGAACTCACTTTTTCTACACCTTGAACTCTAACTTAGTAATGAATGAGAATTTTCGACAAAAATTTTCTTCCGTTGTATGGCGTCCTCTTAAGAGAGACGATATGTTTTCCAAGCAGCGAAAAGGAACAGAAATGTCACACCTAAGAAAATAGCTGCAGACCTTGCAACCATTACCGGTACACTGAATGTTTCTGCCGGATCACGGCGATAAAATTAAGTTGGTTTAAATGTACGGAAACCTGCTCGATGCATCCTGCTTTAATCACGCCATCGTCAAGAAAGATTATATTGGTGAAAGGGATCATTATTGGCCCGAAGCCTTTTCTCCGTCTACCATCTTTATTCTATTCATCTTTGTAACTTTTATTTTAACTTATAAACTACGTAACCCTATTTCCTCTATATACAGGGTTATTCATAATTCCCTCCGGGGTTTCGAAGTGTTATAGTAAAAAAACGAAGACGAATATGGCAAAAAAGACATATGAAAATATTCCGAAAGTAGTGAAGTTTTAATTTAAGCAGTTGCCGGTAGATGGCAGTAACATGTACCACTGCAGTCAGTTGTAGTAAGGAAAAATGGTGTTTACTGGCGGAGGGAATTGTGAATAACCCTGTATAACAACTAATTCACGAAACTTGAATTTGACTAATGGATTCGTGCCCACAACATTAGGGTTTCGCAATCTGGGGTTTTTGCCACTAGATTTAGGTAGGATTATTCATTCTTATTTGTACCCTATGGAGGTCAATTTTTATGGTTAGTGTATTCTTAAGTACATTGGGTATTTTTAAGGAAGGATAACTTACTTTTTATTATTTTTTTACTGTTTCTGAAAAAGTCTTCGGGAAAATAGTCTATTTTTCGAAGTATGAATTGATAAGAGGTCAAAAATGCAATAAAACGTCAACATTCTGTGACAAAATGACGTTGTGACGTCATTGGCCAATCATGTCAAGAGTTAGTTTTCATGTAAGTTTATTTTTTGACCTATTGTTCAAATAGCTGGCAACTCCATAATCCTTTTTTTAAATCGTAAATGGTGAGAAGGGTGTTATATGTTTGGCATCTTGAATTGAACATCGTATTGGGGTACAGGTGGCTTAGAGTAGAACTCTCTACCAATGGCAACATTTCTCATGCTTTCACCATTAGCGTGTGGAGAGTCATAGAAGAAGAAAGTATGTAAATTTTTGACTTCATTTTCAAATAGATTAAAAACTTTTAAGTTCGGAAACTACATGGAACTGAAAACTACATTAAACATAGTTCTAAAAGAAAGCGTCGTAAAAATTTAAAAAAATTTCTTCTGGCAATTAAATGCGAAAAATATCAAGAAAAGGAAAATATCGTAGTTCATTCTTATACAACTGAGAAGAGGAAAGGGAGGAGTGTCAAGCCATTGAATCGGTCAACTTCCCAGATGGCGTATTCAAGCATTGCTGTCGCGAATATAAGGGAAGAAAGGGTTTATTTTTTAGTAACCTAATATGAATAATTTCTTTACTCTATTGTTTTTTATGGGAGCAATGGATTTGCATAAAAACATAACATACATAAAATATTGCTATACACAAAACAGGTTACACACTTCAGTATTACAGTACAATAACTATGGATTACAATAAAGGAGGGCCATACCATTATGTCAAAGTTTTCTTCTGTACTTCCTATAGGATTAAACAATGTGCAATTTGTATCATAAGGTTGGGGTAAAAGATGTTGCTCCACCTATGAACAAATGAAGTCAACATTTTGTAAGTATTATTGGTTGTCCGGAAGTGAATGACACAGATTTTACGAGAGGGTGGAATTCAATTTTACAATAAGCACATGGAACAAGTCAAATTTTTTGATGGCTTTCTATTAATAGACCAAAATAATCTTGATGGTAACCATCACCCCAATCTTGGTATTCGAGCTGATTTATAATGTTCCAACTTGTTTTGATGGTTTGTTCTTGTTGAACCATCAGAACTCTCCATCAAAATTTCGTAAAAATCAAATGTTGAAACTGTCATGAGCCACCATCACCCCAATATAGGAATTTGGGCAGATTTATGATGGTTCGACTTTTTTTGATGATTTGTTCGTGTTGAACCATCAGTACTTTCCATCAAAATTTTTAAAAAATTAAATGTTGAAACGTTCATGAGCCACCATCACCCCGATGTAGGATTTCGAACTGAGTTATGATGGGTCAACAAGAAAAAACAAACAAATTGTTTTGATGGTTTATTCCTGAGAACCTACAAGATTTCCCATTAAACCATCAAGGAAATGCGCAGTTGAAGCCCTCTTGAACCATCATAGATCATCCTTGATTGTTGGTCTATGAGAATCAAAATTCTCTTGATGATTAAGCATCATATTGTATTTAACCATCATTTTCCATCATGGACCATGGAAGTTGTTTGGTATATCAAAAACCATGAACGCATAATGGTAAATGTTGGAGGATGGTGACCATCAAATGATGTTGGACCATTTTGAATCGCACTGAAACCAACATAACCATCAAGAACTTTGACTTGACGAGTAAAGATACAAAATATATGCTAAGTACTCAGTATGTAATGCTCATATTACAGTATTGGTGGATTTATCAAAAACAATCTAATACACATGTTGGGAAAATAAATAGCTTTCCGTGGGTTTTTTACGAACATGGATGTTTGCTTGAAAAAAAATCTTTTATCGGGTTCCTAAGTTTGTAATTGGAGCGCGTATTTAATGAAATGCAAGTGAATATTTTTTATGGTTATATACATTCATTTTTTAGATAAAATTGTCCATAAATAATCGTGGTAGGCTTAATTTTAAATCAGCTTTTAACTATGTGAAGGGGCATTTGTAATGCAATATGATTAGTTCTTAAAATGTGCGCTGCCTAATCTAAGGCGCTATCTGATATTAAAAAAACACGTTTTTTTGTGTAAATTCTTATCTTTTTGCTGTTAATGGATATAGACCTACAATGAATGGGAATTTTCCTCTTGAAATGACTCACGGTGCTGGTTTATGCTTGAGAGATGCACGGATAGCCAGCCAAAGGACTGGGACATATTATGGTAATGCGTATGAATGTGTTGTGATTGCTCATTCCTCAATCAACCAACGCTACAGAGCAAGGAATAAAATGTTCCTGGTTATTATAATTAATTCAAATTCGGTTACCATATTTGTCGCGGTATGCGAGCTTTCTGGTTATCAACTTTGGTTGACAACTTTGGTCGTGGTTTCCACTCTACTTCTGTGACGAATAGGCAACGATCTTTTGATTTTTTAAGTACATTCAATCAGTTCAACATTGACTAACCCATTGCTTACGGAGTTCCATGTTGTACCATCACATGTGGTTCACATGTTGTAATCAAAAGGCTAAGGTAGTTCCCTTCAACACAATCTGGCCAAAAGTAGTATCCGGACACTCAGTGATATGGAAAGTGTCCTGAGGTAATAGGATGTTGATCTTGTAGCATATGTGTTTTAACTGTGATTGCAACTGTGATGTTATTGATGCATTGATGTTGTTCATGTCCAGTACTTGCTCTGTTCTGGTCTGAGAGGTTGCTGTCTTACTTGATAATGGTTAATAAATATTCTCTTAATGAAACTTTAAGGCTTTGCAGTTCTTAAAGGTATAAGAGAGAAACATGGTGTCAGCGTGCATGCTTGCCTAAATGTATTTGAGAGGAACTTAATGTTCGTTCTTCGTTCAGAACTTTGTGTTCATGATAAAAGTATGGAAACGTTTAGGCCTGCAAGAGAAAGGCAAGTTTACTTCAGGTAACCTTTCAGAAATATGGACGAAATAGAAACAGAAGTTTTTTTTAACTATCTAATAGCGTCAGAAAACGACAAAAAGTCAGAGCAGTTAAAAATAGCCATACTTCTCAACGTCATTAATGATGAAGTAGTGAATATATTTAATACGTTCAAGCCTGGTCCAGATAAAGATGCAAAAAAGTTTGATGACGTTGTTGAGTTATTTGAAGAATACTGCATGCCAAAAAAGAATGTTGTGTTTGAGAGTTTCAAATTTTTCTCTTGCATTCAACAAGGGCAGCAGATAGACAGCTATCGTACTGAACTGAAAACGCTAGCTTCCACATATGGTTTCGGCAGCCAAGAAAACGACTTAATCCGTGACAGGCTGGTGCTGGAAATCAGAGAAAAAGCCTACCTAGAAAGACTACTCCGAGAGACTGATTTAACATTGGCAGATGGCAGCTGATTTTCTTAGAGCAGCGGAGACAAATTAAGTTCAACTGGAAACTGTTACTGCTGCATCTCAAGTGCGTGAAATTAAACGAAATGGCCCTAAAGCAGCAGTTGTGCACAAAAAGCCATAAAAGTGATACGTTTAAGAGCTATCGATATGGCAGCATGCAAAAAAGAGTTGCCCTGCATTTGGTAGGATATGTGCAAAGTGTAAACAAAAAAACACTTTGCAGCAGTGTGTAAAGCCGCAAAACCTACACAAAAAAGTGTTAATCAAATTTAAAACACCTCTGATATTGGTTCTCTGTTTATAGATAGTGTAACATTTGAAAAGTGTCATATCAATGATTCTGTTATAGATGATAGAAACTTTAGTGCACATAGCTTAGAAAATGTCTGGTTAACAAAAGTTGAAGTAGAGGGTAATGACAATGAATTTAAACTTGATTCTGCTGCAGAAGCAAATATATTGCCACTTACTGTATTTAACAGCGTGACATTGTCTGTCGATAAAAAATTGATTGATACAAAAGTAACATTGTTATCATATGGTAATTGTGAATTAACACCAAAAGGTGAAATTGATTTGAAATGTATACATGGTAGAGATGAAGTCTTTTTGAAATTTATTGTTATTGATGTATCATCAAAACCTATTTTGGGTCTGAAAACTTGTCAGATGTTAAATTTAATCAAGAAGGTGCTTGTGATAGATTTTTTTGATAAGGAAAGTGTAATTAATGGGAATATTGATCTCTTTAGTAACTTAGGTAGATTTTCAGGGGATCCATATCATATTGAATTAAAACCTGATGTAAAACCAATAATTGATGCACCTAGAAGGGTACCATTAGCCATTCTTGATAAATTAAAAAGTACTTTACATAACCCAGAAGCTAAGGATATAAAGGGGAAAACTGTATTTTCTGTCTTGGATCTTAAAGATGGTTTCTCGCAAGTGCCGTTAGATGACGCGAGTGCATATTTGTGTACATTTAATTCCCCATTTGGAAGTTATCAGTTTTTAAGATTGCCTTTTGGTATTATATCGGCACCTGGAGTTTTCCAGAAACCTAATGTTTGATGATTTGGAGGGAGTAGAGATCTATTTTGATGATATCATAGCGACTGGTAAAAATAATATTGAACATGATGTTGCACTTAACTAAGTTTTTGAAATGGCTAAGCAATGTAATATAAAATTTAACCCTGAAAAATTTCAGTACAGAGTGAGTGAGGTTAAATACGTGGGACAACTAGTGTCTAAGGAAGGAATAAAAGCTGATTCAATGCATATAAGAACGATAACCGAAATGAAAATTCCAACTGGCAAAGATGACGTGAGGCGATTTTTGGGTATGGTAAGCTACCTCTCAAAATTCATTCCTACTGTATCAACAATTACTTCTCCTCTTAGAACTCTTTTGAGGGATAAAATTGAATTTAATTGGCAACCTGAACACAATATTGCTTTTAGTAAGATTAGGGATTTGTTGAGCTCTTCCTTGGTGTTAAAAGTGCTTAATAGTTCTAAACCTAGTGTAATATGTTCTAAAGATGGGATTGGGGCATGTCTTATTTAAGAGGGTCACTTAGTGTCTTATGCTTCTAGAAGTCCCACTGAGACTGAGCAGAATAATGCTCAGATAGAGAATGAGATGTTGGTAATCGTTTTTGCTGTACAAAAGTATCAAAGCTTTGGGTATGGTAAAAAGTTTGTAGTTCAAAGTGATCATAAACCTTTAACAAGTATTGTCAAAAAGCCAATGTATACTAGGTCTTCAAGACTACAAAGGATGCTTCTTAAGTTGATGAAATATCAATTTGAAATTGTGTATATGAAAGGGAGTGAGATGTTTTTAGTTGACACTCTCTCTCGAGCCTATATAAAACATAAGGTAAATGATGACCCTGATATGCTTAATGTTGTACACACTGTCAAACAACTCCCAATAGGTAAGAGAAGAGTTGAACAATTTATAAATGGTATAAAGTCTGATATAGTGTTAAAATTTGTATATGATTGTTGTGAAAAGTGTGGGACAAAAGAGGCACAAAGTGTTCCCCGCGAAGTGAAACATAACTTCAAAATTAGAAATGAATTGTATTTAGAATGCGGGTTATTTCTTAAAGACTCAAAAATAGTTATTCCATCTTCTCTTAGAATTGATATGTTATCATTATCTATAACTATCTATAACATTATCTATAACAAGAACACTCCTGGATCAGTACCCCCAGAGGAATGACTTGTTATGGGAACATGGAGGACTTTTTAACTCGGCATATTTAACGTGTATCAGTCACCATTTACTACATTGGGAGTCTTCATCCGGCGGGGATCAAACCCACAACCTCTTGGACATGGGCCCAGTGTCCTATGACCCAGGCTATCCCAGGCCCAGGTAATAAATGTTAAAAAAAAACCTTGCATTACAATAACGGCCAACTCCAGTCAAGAAGGAAAGATCCAAGTAAGGGAGAGAGAGTCGTTAAAGGCCACTGGATTGTAAATTAGCAAACCTATCAGCAGTCACTTCACGTTTAAGCACTGCAGATCTAGTTAAGTACATGGTAGTAGATAACTGAAATTCAGTTCCTTGTAACATTATAATTCAGATATTTTATTATGCAAATAATTATACAAAACTAATAACAAAAAATTATTATTTAAAATCTAATTAGATTTTATCACCTATAAGTTTGCATGTGAATTCACCAGAGTGATCACAAACTTGGAAGGAAGGCATGGCATTTCATAAAGATAGAGATTTTCTTAGTGACCCATAGCGTGCAATGTCCACATACGCCGCTAGGGGTTAGAAAGCTACATTAGTAGAAGCATAGTTCATGTTAATTACACCTTTTCTAATGAATATTGTCAAAGGTTGTCTTCAAACAGATCTACAATTAAATATTTTATAAAACTTAATGATTTGGCGTGCCATTTGTACAATTGTACAATTTGTGTACTTGGCTAGATCAAAAGAACAACCAAACAGCCAGTTTACATATGAGGAAGCTCCTCTTGTGTCATATGATGCAAGTGATTCTCGATATTTATGAGTCCTACCTTTTCAACAAATTTATAATCACTACCTTGAATTAATTTGTAGATAAAAAGGAAGATTTGACTGAAAAGCAGTTCAACTCAAACAACGAGGATATCTGCTTTTCTAAGGCCATGCCAGAGAGCTGGTAAAACATTAGAATACCAGAAGCTTTAACACTGCCTACAGACTGAAGAAAGATTAATGTCGTGACCCATATTTTGAATGATGTATATATTATAGGTTTTATTCCTTAATGTCTACCAATCGCAAGATAAACTCTCAATCAGGTCTCTTATAATGTGGGGAGAGGATCATCTCGTGATTGTACGACAATAGTTTCGTGATCACTCTTTCCATTTCGTAAACAATACTCACATATTCGGTGACTTTAATAAAATGATATCCTGGTGCCAAAAGCTTAATACCATGTCTGAAGGGATTCACAAGTCTTCTGGAATCGTGAATAGCAAAATAAATGGCCGGTTCAGCTCTGGGATCAATATATTCATCCGAATGTACTCTCAACCAAAACATGATATCTACGAAACAAAATATTTATATAATTTTCATTTTAGGACATATATAATGCATATTTTTATTTTTAAGGATAAGAGCAGGATTTTAAGGATAAGGACTTCATGAATACTAGGCAGGCTCAAAAGATTATAACCGAAGTAAACTATAATACTTTTAAATAAGTATATATATATATGTAAAATGATGCAGTCGGACCCGGCAGGAAAGCAGACACAGGATTTTAATTAAATCAGAGTAACTTTTATTTGATCATTCCTAGTTGAGTGGGAGCGAAGAAGTGATGTTTACTCCATCAGCAAACAGTCTTTCTGGTAGGGAAAATCTTGCAAAAATCCGAAAATGCCTCTATTTAGGGAAAAGAGGGAAATCTCAGAAATTACTATTGGTTAATTAGATAGATCACGCGATTCCCACAAAGCTTAAAAGGAAAAATATCTTTATTTAAATTTATGTATAGCTGGCTAAAAATAGATTTAGAAACAGGATGTGGTTTTTTAAAAGTATCATAAAGTGCTTCGAATTGAAG